CCTGGCCAAGCTGAGCTCCAGAGGACTTTTCCAACCTTTATTATTCCTTCATAGTCCAGTCAGTGGAAAGAAACACCCCCCCAGGATGGGGCTGAGCCCCCCAAAATGAAGCAGGAACTGAGACAGCTCAGGGTCTGATCATTTCCCTGGGTCGTTCACTGGGGCTGTGGCTTTTCCAGAGGGTTAATCCAGGGAAAAAACACCTCCAAGCCAGAGCATCCCATGCTCCCAGGAAAGCTGGGAAAGCAGCTGCTCAGCAGATGCTTTTCAGCAGCCAGCCCCCCCCCAAGAATTTGGGGATTGAAAGGAACTTGCAGCTCCAGCAGCATCGACCATCACGGACCCTCCTGTGCAAAGCCCAGCAGAGCTCCAGGAGGGATTTTCCTGCCCCAAAATAACTGCAGGGACAGGTATTGGGAGCACTGTGAGCCCCCCTCTCCTGCTCCATGGCCTTGGGAGAGGTTATTTTGGGAAGGCACCGGCGGCAGCTGCTTTGCTTGTGAAAAATAATAACGGGGTTTTTACAGCTCCTGGAGGAGAAAAAAGGGAGATTTCTCCTCACTCCAGGGGGGTTTCTCTTAGGGAATGGAGGCTGGAAAGCACAGAGGGTGTCAGAGGCTGGGATGGGGTTTGTCACTGGGAAAATGTCCTCGTTGAGGGGGGGGAACCTCGGCACGAGGAGCGTCTGCAGCAGAGCCGACAATTGCAGCGGATTCGATTCCGCCATCGATCCCCTCTCCCTCTCCTGCTCCCAAATGGATGGCTGGTCTATTCCAATCTCATCAGCTGCCACTTCTGCTTGTTAAGGGAAGGGAAATCCCCCCCTAGTCGCTGTTTCTCTGGAAGATCAGAGCCCACAGGGTCACCCTTTATATATGGCAACAACCCCGGGCTTTGGGAGGCAGCTCCACCCTCCGGCATCCCAAAACTCCTCCAGGCTTCTCCATCCCACACGAGGCCCTAAATCCCTTAAAATACAACCCCCAGGCTTCTCTTGAGTGCCCTGATCCTGCAGTCCTTGCAGGCAGAGTAACACGCAAACAGTTCCACGGGGAGGCCGATTTTCCACAGAAAAAAAAAAAGTCTCCGAGGGTTTTTTTTTGGGATCCCTGGCCGTGCCCAGGCAGCTCTGCCTTGCTTATGTTGTCTCCCAGCTCCTCTGAGGAGGGATTTCATGCAGAACTTGGAGCTGGTTGCAGCTGCTTTAAGATCCTGCCTTACATGGGAGCCACAACAAACCCCTCCTGGTGGAGCCACAGAGACGCCTCCTTAATTAGCAAAATGGAAAACAGCCCCACGGAATCCATCCCAAATGTGATTAGGGCTGGGGGAGGAGGAGGCCAAATGAGATTGCAGGTACAAAAACAAGGAGGAGATGGCCTGGCCAGCCCCATTCCCTGTGGGAATTGCACCAGGCAGGAGCCTGCTCCGTTCATTTTAACTTTGGGGATGTTATTCAGTCAAATATAGGGATGGCAAGAGCTGAGAGTGGTCCAGGGCCTGGACTGCCTTCAAAAGATGCAGCTCCTTCCATTCCAGCCCCAAAAATCCATGCAAAGACCCCAAAGCTTGGGGATGAAATTCTCTCTGACCTGGCAGCATTTGGGGTGATTTTCAAGCTGGCACCAGCCCTGTTTCTGTCCCACTAGAACTCGACTTCCCACAGGGCAGAGAGGTTTCTGCAAGCTCTGCTGGTGGGAAGGACCCTGCAAGGCCAAAGTGTCCACCCCCTGTCGTGTTTGGGAAAACCAGCAGGATTTTATTCCTGTTTAACCCCCTTTATTTAACCTAAATCCTCACTGAATTCCCCCTGAGTTCCCACTGAACCTGCCCCAGCTCCACCAACCCCCAACCAAACAGCCCCGAGCCCGTGGTGAGTTTAATCCAGAGTCTCTTGTTGGGGTTTGGATTTATTTATCCATGTTATAAACACACTCAAGGATTCTGCCCTTTCCTGGCACAAGTCCTCCCAGCCTGGAGAACTGGCCCAGCTGCTGAATTCACTGAGGAGTTTTAATAAACCTCCCTGACAAGGGTTTGGCTTTTCTGGGGAACTGGGGTTACTCTCAGTGCCCCCTGAGCCTGCCTTAACCCCTGGGGGACTGGGGTTTGGCTGAGCTGCATCCCATCCTGCAGGCAAAGCCCTGATTTCTTCAGCTTCCTATTCCCACCTTTCAGGTGCCCAGAACACACGTTGGCTGGCAGCGTTTCCAGCTGCAAGGTGGAAGGAAGAGTCCACACCCACCTCTGGGATAATTTGGGGTGGTGAAAAACTCCCCTCAGCTGCAACATCCTTCCCTTGGGAGGTAGCACATCCCATCCCAGGAGGGTGCCAGGGGTTGGCAGGAGAGGCTTGGAATGAAAGGAGGGAGCCTTCCCAGTCTGGGTTGAAAGCAGGAAGCCTTTTCCAGTCTGGGATAAAGCAGGGAGTCCTTCCCAATGCTGGGATGAAAGTAGGGAGTCCTTCCCAGACTGGGGTGAAAGGAAGGAGGCTGGGATAAATTAGGGAGTCCTTCCCAGCCTGGGGTAAAGCAGGGAGCCTTTCCCAGCCTGGAATGGGAGCAGGGAGCCCTTCCCAGCCCCAGATCTACAGGACTTGTGCCAAATCCCCCTTGCCCACGTGCCACGCTTGGCCTTTGATCTCAGTTTGCAACGCAAGGACAGAGCAGCTGAAGGATCGTCTCAGGGACCGTGAGTTTTGGTTTTTTTGGCAGGTACCACTTCTGCATGACCATCCTGATCTACTTCCTGCCCCTCCTGGTCATAGGCTGTGCCTACACCGTGGTGGGACTCACCCTCTGGGCCAGCGAGATCCCCGGGGACTCCTCCGACCGCTACCACGAGCAGGTGTCGGCCAAGAGGAAGGTGAGGAGCTCCAACCACAACTCACATCCAGTCCCAGCTGACCCCAGCCCTAAATCCTTCACTGGGGGGGGAACAGGTCAGGACTTGGAATATGCTGAGGGAAGGGACACACAAGGATCATTGACCCAACTCCTGGCCCTGCACAGACACCTGAAAATCCCACCCTGTGCCCCAGAGGATCATCCAACCCCTCCTGCAGCTCTGGCAGCCTTGGGGCTGTGCCCACTGCCCTGGGGAGCCTGTTCAGTGCCAACCACCCTCCGGGGGAAGAACCTTTCCCTGAGATCCACCCTGAGCCTGCCCTGACACAGCTCCAGCCATTCCCTGGGGGTTGTCCCTGCTCCCCCCAGAGCAGAGCTCAGTCCTGCCCCTCTTCTGCCCCTGCCCAGGCAGATGGAACTGCAGGGAGGTCTCCCCTCAGTCTCCTCTTCTCCAACTGAACACTCCTCAGCTGCTCCTCATAAGGCCCCTCCAGACCCTTCCCCATCCTCGTGGCCTCCTTTGGACACTCTCCAATGGCTTTAATATCTTTTTTAATATCGTGGTGCCCCAAAACTGCCCCCAGCACTGAGATGAGGCCACCGCAGTGCAGAGCAGAGCTGCTGAAATCAAAACACAGCGTCCTCCACACGTGTGTCCTCCACAGAAGTGGGTGGTTTAACCAAGATGCCCCCCAGCTGGAAACACCTGTAGGCCCAAAAGAGCTGGGTGGACTGACTGATGGATGGCCCTGTCCCTGCCCTCTGTCCCTGGCTCAGGTGGTGAAGATGATGATCATCGTGGTGTGCACCTTCGCGCTCTGCTGGCTGCCCTACCACATCTACTTCACCCTGCAGTACTTCCACCCCGAGTGGTACTTCCAGAAGTTCATCCAGCAGGTCTACCTGGCCATCATGTGGCTGGCCATGAGCTCCACCATGTACAACCCCATCATCTACTGCTGCCTCAACGACAGGTGGGTTTCCAGGGACACCTTCGGGGGGACAGGGACGGGAGGAGGGGGAGGTACAGAGGGGTGTGATGGAGGAGGGGAGGGATGGATGGATGGATGGATGGATGGATGGATGGATGGATGGATGGAGAGTTTTTTGGGATGGTTCTGCCCCATCCTCCACTAGGGGCTCCTTCCAGCAGATGCTGGAATGGTACAACCCTCACCTAAAGTCTTTCCTCAAGGCCCTATGGGATTTGAGGGATCAAAACAGTCCTGACTCAACTTCCTTGTGAGGGGCAGAGGAGGGGCAGGGACTGAGCTCTGCTCTGGGTGAGCAGGGACAGCCCCCAGGGAATGGCTGGAGCTGTGTCAGGGCAGGCTCAGGGTGGATCTCAGATCTTCCCCCCGGGGGTGGTTGGCACTGAACAGGCTCCCCAGGGTTTGGCCATGACCCCAAGGTTGCCAGAGCTCCAGGAGCATTTAGGCAATGCTCTCAGGGACAGGATGTGACTCTTGTGAATGGTCCTGTGTTGGGTCGATGATCCTTGTGCGTCCTTCCCTTCCAACTGTGACACTCTGAAATGGGGCTTTATCAGCGGATTTCCC